AAGGAGAGAGTAACAACAACCGCTCACCGTATATAATTATTGGGAGGGGGAAGTTGACCAGAGCAAATGTATTTTTTATTTATAAATTAATAGAAATTAGATTTTTATCCGAGGGTAAAATTGGAATATCAACAACGGTCTGGACCGGGGATGAGGGATCACGTGGTGGTTTGATGCAGCCCACCACACCACCGTCCTAACCCCAATTTCAATTCCTTTTTAAAAAAAAAAAAATTAAAATTCATTTATTTATTTTTTAAAGTCTGGATAATGACAGATTTTGTTCCGTTGTTGTCCAAATTACCGTCCTACCCCTCAAATGTCCAATAATAATAAGAGTGTCCTCATGGGGGGATTATAGATTTTTACCTAAAAAAGTCAATTTAATTGAAATAATTAATTTTATTCTTTTATTGGCCAAAGAAAAATAAGGAAAATCAAAACTAATATTTTGTTAGGCCCAGAAAATAACGCTTTTTATCATTTTGTTTGGCTGACTTTATTGCAGTTTGAGAAACGTAGGAAGTCTTGTTCATCATGTTTGTCCTACTCTCTCTCTCCAATTATTTTTGTTTATTTTCTCAAAAAGATTAAAATGAAAATCTGAAGCTCTTAAAAATAAAAAGATAAACATCAAATAAAAGCCTTAAACTATCTTCAAATGTGCCTCCTTCATCCTCACACGGTCGCTCTCTTTTTTGGGCGAAGAACATAATCAATGTCCCGTTTCCTCTGTTCAGAGGTTTAGCTGTTCTTGTTTTTCTTTGGAAAAATCTTTGTGGGTTTTGTGGGTTTTGTGGGTTTTGTTGTTTTTGTTGTGTATGTATGGATTTTGGAGCGGTGGGTTTTGATGGGTTGGTGGTGGGTTCATCGGATATCTCTGGTTTCTCTTCAGATCCTGAAATGAAGCAGAAATGGTACGATTCTGCCTCTGTTTCTGGGTTTTTGCACAAACAGGAGCGATCTGGCAGTGGCGGTGTAGCTGAAATGGAGGATTTGAGAGTCTCTAAGCTCCCTAAAACGTCTGCTTCTTCTTTGCTCAGATCTAATTCCCCTTTCTTTGTCTCTGATTCTAACCAAAATCATCACCAAATGCTCTGTTTTTCATCGCCGAAAGCAGAGCCTTCTCGACTTGATAAGACAGCTTCTCTCTCAGCTGCTTCCGCTAATTTCGTCCGATCCTCCGCCCCAAGAAATGCAGGTACGTCCTGCTTTCAATGCTCGCATTCGGTTCTTGCTTTACTCTGTTTTGTCGGTCTTTTCATTCCGACTGCCCCAAGTAGATTTGTGCAACTGTTGTGTTCTGATTTCTGCCTCGTTTGGTTTTTGAAGCATTTGGGTGTTTTTTGTTTTTGATTTTGTGTTCTACAGGCGGCAGTTATGGAGGTTTGAACGGTGGAAGCATGCACGGCGGTGGGTTTATAGGTGTTAGAGCTCCGTTCACTCCATCTCAATGGATGGAGCTGGAACATCAGGCTTTGATCTACAAATACATTACTGCTAATGTCCATGTTCCTTCTAATTTGCTCATTCCCATCAGAAAAGCGCTTGAATCTGCTGGCATTCCGACATTTTCCGGCGGATTTCTCCGACCCACTGCCGGTGAGTTTCCCCTGTTTTTTTTTTTTTTTTTTTTTTTTTTTTTTTTTTTTTTTTTTTTTTTTTTTTTTTTTTTTTTTT